TTGAATCATTACTTACATTAGGGAAACTATTCAGTATTCACACATGCGAGATTGATTTATTTCACTTATAAGTATGATCTCGAGCTTTGCCCATTTATTGATAAATATCTCAATGTGATCCTTCTTTATAGCTGAGTAATACTCCATTGTATAGAAATACCACAACTTTTTTATCCATTCCTCAGTTGATGGACACTTGGGTTGTTTCCAAGATCTGGCGATTACCAAGTGTGCTGCTATAAACATAGGTGCACATATATCACTGTTGTATGATGCTTTCAGTTCTTCTGGGAATATGCCTAGAAGTGGAATAGCTGGAATAAACTGGGACTTCCAATCCCAGCTTTTTGAGAAATCTCCAGACTGACCTCCACAAAGGTTGTACCAGTCTACACTCCCACCAACAATGTAGGAGAGTTCCTTTTTCCCCACAGCCTCTTCAGCATTTGTTGTTTTTGCTTTTCTTGATCCTGGCCATTCTTTCAGGAGTGAGATGGTATCTCAGTGTGGTTTTAATTTGCATTTCTCTAATGACCAATGATGATGAACATTTTTTCACGTATTTATTTGCCATTTGTATTTCTTCATCTGAGAAGTGCGTATTCATCTCAGATGCCCATTTTTGGATTGGATCTTTGAATTTTGGGGGTCTGAGTTTTTTTAATTCTTTATATATTTTAGACAAGAGTCCCTTGTCTGAGAGAGAGTTCACTAAAATCTTTTCCCAGTTTGTGGGTTTCTTTTCACTATGCTGGAGATTTCTTTTGACATGCAGAAACTTTTTAATAAGTGGTGGTCCCAGTTATTGATTCTGGGAAGTATTTCCCATGCAGTTTGAGTCCTGTTCATGAAATCTCTACCTACCCCTATGTCTTCAAGGTTTCTACCCAATTTGTCTTCCAATAGATTTAGTGTTTCTGTTTTAATATTCAGATCTTTGACCCATTTAGATTTTAATTTAGTACATGGTGATAGGCATGGGCCTGTAGAGTAAATTTTTAAAAACTTCAGATATAATTTTTAGGAGAATTAACAGTAGAGAATAATTTATAATCAGATTTTGTATGCTCTGTGTGCTAATTTGTTCTTGGGTTATATAAGTGCTTTAAAACTTTTTAATCAGAATTCTTTGGCTTTGTGTTTGCAAGACGATAAAGAATTTTAATTGTTTTGGACTGGACATGTAGTGCAGTGATAAAACTATTGCCTAGCATGTCTGAGGCTCTGGGTTAAGTGCACAGCACTGAAAAAAATGAAAACACAAAACCTCTCTTTTTGTTGTAATAACCACTTTGGTAAGCTAAAGAAAAGATGCAGTTATTGTGAAAACACATTCGAGTTTGCAGGAAATGAGGATATAAAACAAACCGCAGCCCATCCTTATGGAAAGAGATGACAGTTCTATCTTGAGAGCAGCAATTTGCTTTTGTTCTCATAGATACTCTGTATCTTTCTGCATGTCAAATTTACTAGCAGAATTCCTCTGTTATATTTGTTTCCTGTCATTCATATACAAGATAGATGCCTCATATAAAATAGCTACTGAAGCCCACTTTACATCCAGACAAATATCAATTTGTTTAAACATATTATTCTGCATCTGATAGCTATGATTTTCATTAGAATATCCTAGGAAGGGAGTCTGGTAGATCCCGTATCCTTACTTAAAAAAGCTAGAAAATTCAGTAGTTAGCAAAAATAATCATTTTGCTACTAAAACTAGTTTTTAAAACATTTCTTATATAGTGAAAATGATTGCTGTCATGACATTAGTGATCTTTTGAATACGGCAATGTACATGATTTTGTCTCAGAACCATGTTCCCAAGGAGTGTTCTGGTGAAAGTAATTGTGCAGGACATGAATAGGGGCTTCATGATCAAATAAATTTGGAAGGAAGTTAAAGTTTACTAGCGCTCTCTTCAAATATTTTATAACACTTATTCATGTGAGCTATGAGGATTGCACAATAACTTTTAAATTACAGAGCTCATGGACTATCAGTAGAAATTGAGAGTTAACAGTTGTAGCTTATAGAGAGAAGGGGAAGAGGTATGAGATTAATTTGAAAGCTTAAATAGTGATCATTAGCCCATGTTTAAGATGATGACGTATATTTTAAGAGCAATGGAAAATCATGAAGAATATCAAGGAAAATATGGTCAGTTTTTAGTTTTAGGATGTTTATTTTGTTTTCAGTGTGGGGAGGGAACTGGAGAGAAGTAAGCATCAGTGAGAAGACTAGTTTGCTCCTTCTACAGTAGTGAAGGAAAAGACTGTGGGGCTTGTTCAGATTTGTATATACAATATTCACAATATATTTTTAGACAAGCCTAGCATGAATTGTTGATGTAATATGACTTAAGCATGAAAGAAAATGATGTATCAAGAATGTTTCTTAATTTTTATCTTGAGTGAGTAGAATAGTGGCACTATTTCTAAGACAGGTAATACTGGATGGAGAAGATTTGGGAGTACAGTTGGAATATTTAGTAGTTTAGCACTGGATATGCTCAGAAGAGATGTTGAGTAAAGGATTAAATATATGATTCTGGAGTCAAAGCAAAGGCCACAGGTATAAAGACCATTAAATTACTTGTTTGTGAACAGGTAATAGTCATTGCACAGTTGAATACAACGTAATTGTTCAGAAAATTAGTTTTCCAACTCAAGAAACCAATAGGTACAAAATTATTGCTATAGTGGTTACATAGGCTAGTCGTCTTAGTTATTATCTCATTGTAGTATAACTTATCCAAATAAAATATTTCAGCTCTCAAGAAAAAATATCCTTAGAATAATAGACAATTCAGGCATTTGTTTCATGTCTTTTAATGAACATTATCAATCCCTATAGTTGCCTTTATTTAGAATAAAATCTTTTTAAAAATTGAAAGAAAAAATATTTTGAGCATTTTCTCCATGCTGATGCTTTTAATTTTCCTAAAGCATTTCCACAGTGTAAACGAGTCATATGGTAACTTTGGAGAAAGGACAGCTATATATGTTGGTACTACTGTCTTTCTGAGGATGTGCTTTCTACACTCTTAGAAAAGTTTCATGTTTGGGATAGGACAGATTGGAGATTGAAAAGTTAATAACACAAATTATTTAATTTGTTTTACCCCACTAGATGTAAAATTTGTTTTTGTTTATTTAATTCCTTGTTACAATATCAGCATTTAATCAGTGCCTTGAACACCGTAGATGTTCAAAGAGTATTTGAGGAACAAATTAATGAGTTTTATCTTCACTGTTATTGTTAGGAAAAGTAATTTAAAAAATTAGAAATTTAGATACCTATATTGAAAAAGATCCATATATGATAAATGTGTATCATAAACACTTACACATGTATATGTACATGTATCTCCAAAACAAGATACAAACACTTTAATTTTCACGTTTTAAACCATACATCCATGGCCCCTCATTGTTACCATGAAGAGTCTCACAAATAATATTGATTTTACTTCTGAAAATGAACAATAGTTTCTTTTTATAGCCAAGGCAAACAACAGTGTTTTATTGAACAATACATAACACTTGTCAGGGAAATCTCCTTTACATGAAATATTCATCAGAGGATCATATGATAAGAAAATTGCTCAATACAACAAGTTAATCCATTAAAAATTAATGAAATTCTACAGTACTCCTAATGATTATGGCAAAATGCAACAGAAATGCAACTAAAAATCCACATCAAAACACATTTTAAAGAATTTGCATGGAATTTTTCAAGATTAGATATGTCAAACATCTTAAAATTACAAGATATATGATAGTGATGAGCAGATGAAAAGGTGAACACAACTTACTCCTTGCCCTGATAATGCTTAATATCTTTATTAGGAAAGTCAGAACTCTGTTCTGTTGAAGCATTTATTGAATCTTTACTATGGAAACAGGCTTATATTAAGTGCATGGTGTAAGGATAAAGAAAACTTATTTTCTGTCATACAGGAGATTTTACTTTACAGTGCTGTATTTCTGGGTGTATGTTTTTGTTGCATATGTGGGGACAGAATACACTACTGGAATTCATAGAGCAGTAGCACTATGCAGGGAAACAATCCAACATAAAATCGAGAAGAAAGAAGGAAGATCTGAAGCTGAGCATTATCTTCTTTCAAAAATTATCTCAAAAACTCACATATTTTTCTCCAAAGCTTTATTTTTTGCTTTATTTCATAATTTTAAAATATATTTTGAACTGACAGATAAAAAGTGTTCATAGTTATGAGGTATTGTGATGTTTTGATAATTTCTATATTGTGTAATTTTTAACTCAGGTTAAATATATCTTCACTCTAATTCTAGGAATAAAAGTTATCTAGAGAAAGAGAACATCATTCCATGCTGAAGGAACAACAAATGTGCGCATTTTCACAAACATCAGAAGAAACACACAAACAAAAAACCAAACAAAAACAAAACAAAACACCCGAATGTGCCCTGGGGATGAAAAGCAGCGTTTTAGAGGACAGGAACTACAGTGGAAGATCTCATTGCTGTATCTTCTGTTTGGTTTATTTTGAAAAGCTTGTAAAGTAAAGAAAGATACGAAAAAGACAAGGAACATAGTTTGAAAGATTGGTGTGAAAAGCTATGCTGTGGGGGACCAAAACAAAAATACAGGCATTCAGGGAGAGGAAGGAAGTTTTCGGGCCGAAATAAAAATTTCCGTTTTTCATGGAGCAAGCCTTTTTCAGTTTACTCCTCCTCTCTTGTTTTCCAATAACTCTTGGTTTTCTTACACTTATTCTAGTCAGCGGAATGAAAAATGTACATTATTTTTTAGGCTTAATCTCCAAAAGAAGTGAGCTACGGTACTTAACCTGGAAAACGAACGGAACTTTTAACATTCTAGAGATTTCATAAAGAATGGGATCCTTGTTTACCTGGACGCGGCACGCAAGAACTACAGTACCCAGAATGCACTCTTCCTTTCGCTTTCTAAGGGGGAAAGCCTAATTTAATCTCATTTCCACAAGTAATAGTCACATGACGTTTCCTGTCAAGATGGCGGATAGTCTCCCGTCGGAGTTTGATGTGATCGTAATAGGGACGGGTATGTGTGGCTCCATACTCCTCCGACAAAGTGTAGGAAGTCTCTATTGTTCCTATGTAGTCTGTCATTGACAGGAACCCAGGGTCGAGCGTGGGAGGGAGCACAGAAAGGAAGTGAGGTAATCTGGAGTCAGCATGGCACTTAGCAGCCCCAGGGTGGGGCTTGGACCCGCGGTGCCTTGCGCCTTTGAGTAGGGATCCGTTTGTTTTGCCTGATTGCTGAGGTTGTTTCTAGAGTGATTCCTGTTAATGTTATTAGAGGAAGGTGGGTTTGAAGTTGAATGAATATGGAAAGTCGGAGTTTTATGAGTAGAGACGCCTTTAGCAGGACATGCTTCTTTCCTTGTTGATTTCAAGGTGATATTCCCTACTATTTTGTCTTGCCATTTCATCGAACTTTTTCATATGTGTTGGTAGGGTGCAGCTCTGCTGATATCCAGCTTAATCTGCAGTTATAAAGAAATGCTTAATTGGTATGGTGTTGGAAGCTTAGTGAATTGCATTTTATTGTGGTAGCCATTCCTGCTTTTTGATGTTGAAAGTATTTTACTTTCTACCACACACTTAATCTACTTACTATTTAAGGTGCTCAGAACAAACTGAGTTTCAGTTCTGGTGTGTAACCTTACCTCTCCATTTGTTTTTCTGTCCTTTGTGATTTAGGTGAAGGCAGGAACCCCCTGCAATTTCTGTTTGACAAATTGAAGGTACAGCACACGGCAGAAGACATTTGGCAGCAAGTTAGCTTTTTGTTTTTATTAAAACTCTAAGGGATGAATTTTAGATGGGCAGGACAGTTGTGGGTAGTTTTCTCCTGTCTTTCTAACGTGGTAGGTCTGAGAAGCTCTGGTAGATGTGACCTTGCCCGTTGTATTAAAGCATTTAGTTCTTGTCTTTCCAAACAGTAGGAGCAGCCATGTTTACAAGATCAGAGTAAAACTAACAACTACCTGCTTTCAAATGTTTATTATTTCCTAATCAGTGTGCCAAGCACTTAAGTCAGATGTAATATCATGACAACCTGGTTAGAATACTTAATCTCTAAATGTCACAGAAGACAAAAAGGGGAGTTGGGAATCTAACTTGCCAGAGATTATACAGTTGGTTAATTTCCAAAAGCCCACTCTTCTGTCTCAGAAACAAGAATCACTGTTTTGACCCTCAAAGTTCATATGTTAGTAAACATAATTGAGGCATATTTTAGTAGAAATAATTGGGAAAACAATGCTTCACCATTAACTAGCTATGTGAATGGGGGGGGGCAGGCTCTCTCTCAGATCCTCAGTATTCTTGCTTTGGAATATAGACATGGTAAACTACATAGGTTTTAAGCTGTTTAACAAAAAATTCTCTTATTGTAATTGCACCTGGGTACTTGTCTTTAGAATAGCAAAGACATTTATTCCTAGTTTTTTTTTTTTTTTTTTTTTTTTTTTTTTTTTTTTTTTTTTTTTGTCTTTTTCCTTTTTATCGGTACCTGGGATCGAAATCACGACTGCCTGCTTATTCCTAGTTTGAAAGGAACTTCTTGGATTCAGATACCCTGTTTGTAACTACTGTGAACAGATGTTGAATGAGAACTAGAAAAAGCCATTATACTACTCATTTTTACTTCCCAATTCATCTTAGTTTTACTAAGAAAAATATCCATCTATAATGGTGTTCATTTTAAAACATATTTAGTTTCTATAGTTTTGCCTTTCTCTTTTGTTACCTAGGAATTTGAGATGTTTAAAATTTTTTTCTTTAAATCAAGAGATTCTTGTCTGTGTCTAAATTTCACTTGATAAGTATTTATTCTTATTAAATGCTGTTGATACTACTTTGTAATATTTTTGCCTTCTTATGAAAATAGGAACACATCCATCCTGTTGGAGTTGTCCTGGAGGTAGTAGGTAGGAGGAGCCTAAATAATCCAGAAAATTGTATTGAAAGGCGTCAGAAGTGATTTGGAAAAAGATTCTTTTTAGACTTATTCTAATGAGTGTAATACTCTCAATGTGTGAGAAGAGCTTACTCTAAGTTAATTTTGAACAGTAAGTGTTTAACATTGCTTAAAAGTTACACATTCTGGGTTTTATAAAACATGTTGCTTAAATTTATGATATACAACTTTTTTACTTTATCAAAAGTGGAAAAATTATTAAAAGCATCTCTCAAAGTGATTTTAACACTTTGAATCACTGCATTTAATTAGAATTATTTTGATGTGTTCCTACTGTTTCTTTTCTGAAATACTTTGCTAAAAGCATTTAAAATAAATGTTTGCTTCATTAAACATGCTACTGAGGGGGAAATAAAGTGTTTCATAGTTTCATTTTATTAACAAAAGCAGAATTAATCATGCATATATAAGAAACATTGAAATAGGCTATGAAATGTAATTTTTCTCTCAGAACAGTTTAGTAGAGCATCAAAAGTCACTTGGATCTTCAAGTACAATCATTTGAGGATATATTAAATTCCCTTTGATCTTGACTCATTTTATTCCAATTTTCTGTAAAATAAGGTAAAAGTTTTTCCCGAATAACCAATTTTAAAGATACTATTTTTTAAAAAATAAAATGTTGAATATATTTTCTTAAGTTAAGCTGCCCATTTCCTTCCAGTCAGAAAATATGGGAAGTATCTCTTGAACACCCAAAGGCAGAGGAATAAGGTGAAGTACTTGAACTGTGGAGAATCAAAAAGAAGGGAACAGAATAAAAGAAGGTCAACTGGAATATAAATAGGACAAAAATGGCTCAGGCACACATTTCAGGATAGTTTGTCATTTAAAAAGTCTTTTGAATGAAATTTTGTGGGTTATAAAAAAGGAACTTTGGCCCCAAGCTAAAAATATTTCGTTATACAACATTTCCTTAGAAGTAATTTAAGTGGCAGCCTGTATTATCTGCCACAAGCCAGGAACTTGTGAGTGGTTAAGATGTACTTTATAAGAGCTATGTGGAAATGTTGACATGCTTCCAACATACAGTAATTCTTCAGGTCTTCAATCAGAATATGTTCATTCTTAGGAGTAGTTTCAGCATGCTCAAAATATATTACTGCCTTGGAATTTAAGGATACAAGGAGTATTGTCAACTCCTACCAAGACTGTGGGGGAGTACTATTAGATTTATAAGTGTCAGTTGGTATCTTTATAAGAAAAGGAAGAGAGAAACTCCTGAAATGCAAATCTCTATGAAAACAGCACAGTGACCTGGTACCATTTAGTGTAGGGAAGACCTAGTCTCTTGCCCTTGTGAAGTTTACCATATTGCCTTTGCTCATGAACTTTTGTCCTTCCTTAAAGCAGACTGATCAGACCTACAAACTTCTAAGTGAGAGTGAATGGTGAAGGCTTAAATAAGGAGACAAAGTGATGATTTTAGGGCTCCAGAAGTATCAAAATCCTCTAGCAGAATTCAAGATTCTCTGGGGGCTGAGACAAAGAACTTCTCTAGGCAGCCGCTATTTATTTGGTTTTCAAAAAAGGGTGGAGGATAATTGTGGAAAGCGCGGAAAACTAAGCAGGTCCTTGGAAATCAACTCTAGAACTTTTCCAAGTAATAAATTCTGTTAATTTATGCTAACTATCTTAACTCCAGGTTGACATTCACCACAGGAGTGAGACACCTGCAGCTACAGTCTAGTTAATTGGGTTGGTGCCAGGCATCCTCAGATGTAGCCTTGTCCTGTCCTTTGTGGTGTCATGACATCACAGGCAATTACAGGCCTCAGAGGAACCAGTAATTCATAGAGGTTTACTTCCAGACAAGAGGTTTAGGACTGGGACAGACTCACAAGTAAACATAGAAAGCCAACTGGTTAATTTTAAATCCTGCTCAGAGTCACTTCCTGACAGTAAAGTCCCTAAAGCTGTGTTTTAGACAATGTAGGTTTTTCATTTAATCCTTTTTACTTTTGAAAACTATGTAAAAATTCCTTCAGCATTGCTTTTCTGTATAAAACACACCATGTGTTATCTCTGAGTTTTTCTCCTGAAGTGGATTGTGGAATAGGCTAACTTATTTTATTCTTGCAGAGATAAGCAGACCAATCCTTTTCAAGAGTATTATTGCTAAAGATATGGGAAAAGAGAGGGATGACAAAAATAACATGGGCGAAATTGCACTGTGATACTGCCCATAATTTCTGCTTTCCTTGAGAGTCTTCAGCATAGTACAATTGGAAATGTGGTAACATGGTATATGGTAAACATATTACCTTTCTACTCTGTGACTTTGGGCAAATTAGACAAACTTTTGGGCATCAGTCTGCTTATCTGTAAAATAAGTGATTTGAATTAGATTATCTGTAATGTAGGGATTTACCAGGTCTAAAGTTACCATTGTGTGTCACAGATTATGACTGCATCATTGGAAAAATACTAATTTTTATTTTGTTTAATCATTTTAAGAAGTCATGTCAGTGTTAACTTTAGAATGTTTTTCAATAAATATGGCTGATAAAAAGACATTTTTTGAAACAGATTAGCTGCTTTTTTTCATAAGTCATGTAGTAGCTCAGTCCTATTTCTTGATATTTTTGAACTGAAGTATTTGGGCAGTTAACTGAATAGCAGCGTATTGCTTGACTATGGTCCTTACGATAGTAGTAGAGTAGCTTTACTTCTCTAAGCCTTGGGGAAGATTAATAGTGCAGCAAGTGTCCTGGTAATTGGTATTTGACAAATGTCCATTTTTACTGGATTCAAGTGATTTTCCACATGTATATCTCATTTAACCTTCTCTTAGGTTATCTGATTTATTTCTAATGTCACAGGGTATATTTTGTTTTTGCACACATACATACACCTGTTGTCTAGAGCAGGGTTTTGGTTTTTTTTGTATGTTTAGATTTTTGAGACAAGCTCTTGCTGTGTAGTTCAGACCAATCTTAATCTCATTATGCAGTTCAATCTGGCATTAAAATTATGGCAAGACTCCTGCCTTAGCCTGTTGACTGTTGTATTTACAGGTGTGCACCATAACTGGCTAATTTTTTTTTTTTAAATTA